AGCTGGGGGGGCAGCGCTGTGTTGGGAGGAGCTGATGGGTCCTGGCACGGGTGAGCTTTCCTCTGCTGTGAAAGGATGGAGAAGAGCAGGGCGGGAACCTCAAGGAGCCTTTTAAAGAAAGGAAATACCATCAATGAAACCTCCCGATCCAGACCTTCTTGCACTTGTGTTTTTTTTTCTGGATTTCACTGCAGCATCTTTGCAGGGAGGCTGACATAGTGCTACAGCTCAGCACAGGTGCTGGTTGTGCTGCAGGCTGCTCCCCAGGAGCTGAGAAGATGTGCAGATTCACTCGTGTGTGCAAGTAATTGTTCAGTTCCTGGCTTTAGCTGGCTGCTCCACACAGTGCCTTATAACGTCTGGGAATGTGGAGCTTCACGGGCCAGTCTGAGCATTTTGAAGCAGGTGCAGGGGTGTCCCTGCAGCAGGGCTGTGAGAGCTGTCGGGTTTGTGAGGACAAATATATTGCTTTTTCTGAAGGGTTAGGGATCCTGCTTTGTCTTTTGCAGGCTGGTAATGGGAAGTGTTCTTTAATATAGAAAAATGTATTTCTGGGAGCATAAGCAGCATAGTTGGTGAACTCATTGCTCATTTCAAGGACTTCCGAGGTGCAAAACCTGTGTTTGGTTTCCTGCTGCTCAGGGCCAAGAGGAGAATCTGGATTTTCAGATAAAGGCTTGAGAGAGTTACTGCTGGGTGACCACTAGTGACTCAGTTGTTGAATTCCTTATGTGGCTATTCCTTATCCAGGAAGCAGTGGCTGCAGCAGCGTGAGGAGGCAGGCACAGGGTGTGGTACTCCAGGGGTGGGCTGCCTGACTCTTTTAGGGAAGCACGGTCTTATGGGTGGGTGGGATGAGCTGGTGGCAGGCTTGGCTTTCATACTGAGGATGCTGCTTTCTTTCTCTGCAGGAGGATTTTCGACTCGGCCGTTTGTAAGGAGTGTCCAGCGTCAGAGCTTGTCATCTAGATCTTCTGTCACCAGCCCACTGGCAGTGAGTGAGAATGGTGTCAGGCCCTCCTGGTCGCTCTCTGCCAAACTGCAGTTCCGCTCCAACTCTCCGTCGCGCTTCTCTGGAGATTCCCCTGTGCACACCTCTGCTTCCACCCTGGAGAAGATTGGGGAGGCTGCCGATGATAAAGTCTCCACCTCTTGCTTTGGCAGCCTGAGGAATCTCTCTAGCAGCTACTTAGAGCCCTGCGATGGCAGCCGGCGAGAGCACAGGACGGCTCGCAGAGCTCCTTTGGCTGTCATGGAAGGGGCGTTCAGGGAAGAGTCTGTTGTAAGGACATCTAGCTCAGATCTCTCAGATGGGTATGGTAAAAGCCCTGTGCAGCCAGACAAGAATCATCCTGCTTTGGACCCTTTTGATAACAACAATCAAATCGCCTTCGTTGACCAGAGTGATTCTGTGGATAGCTCTCCAGTCAAGGAGGTGAAAGCCCCCAGTGGGACAGGGCTGGCTGCAGAGAAGGCAGATGGCACCCCCAGGAAGGTTCACAGCTCCAAGGGAGTTTCTGAGCCAGACAGAAGTCTGAGGAAGGGAAGGACAGTCTTATCTACTCAAGAGACCAAAGTGTCTCACTCTTCTCCTCCACCACTGAAGAGTTCCCAGAAAGTTTCCCGGTCTAGAAGTAAGGTGGACTCCTCTAGGGCCAGCGGGCGACACGGGTCTCCCGCTCCCACTCAGGCCAGGAAGGAGCACGGCACGAAGCCCCTTGAGGTCACTGTCCCATCGGCTCAACAGAAGCAGAAGTCGGGCTCCCCATCCTCCGCAGCTGCCAAGAAAACCCCGTCAGGCTCATTGACTAAGGGCTCTTCTGCCGGGAAGAGCCGGACTTCAGAGCGGAGCCTCAGCAGGGAGGGCTCCAAGGTCAGCCTGGGGTCGGACAAGACGAGCGTTACCAGCAGCTCGAGGACGAGCTCCCCACGGATCAGCCACTCCAGGAGTGAGAGCAGGGCAGGGGACAGCAAGCACGTGCGGAGTTCCTCCATGGCCAACCTGCGCTCTCCCAACGTCGGCGCGCGTTCCGGTTTGAAGAGGGACAGCAAGTCAGAAGAGAAGGGGTTGTCTTTCTTTAAATCGGCCTTAAGGCAGAAGGAGACTCGGAGGTCAGCAGACCTGGGAAAGACAACCATGCTGTCCAAAAAGACAGGGAGTGGCGGTTCCAAGTCAGGCAGTAAAAATGTGCTGGAAGACAAATCGGAGAAAGGTGTTGTCCCACCAGCCTCTCAAACCAATGCCAATGTTACTGCAAAAGAAAAACTTGTCCCAAAAGATGCCACACCCAACAAACATTCTCTGCTATCGAGTCGCAAGTCCAAGTCTTCCCAGCTAGATCCCGGAGTCCAGTCTCCTCCTTCCAGTGGCAAGCAGTCTGCTGACAAGCCACTGAAAAAATTACCTTCCAGCATGCAGGTGTCTGTACGGCCTTCTCTGGAACCTCAGTGAAATGCTGCAATCCAGGTGTCTTTTCTTCTGCTGAGAAGCTAATTTATTCTGAGCTCTTGTTTTTTTGTTCATGTGCCTAATGTATGTTTTGAGGAGAAGTTAACTGCAAGTTGTTAAAGCGCCTTTTGATTCTGCCATCAAACCAAATAGCCACAGGCAGCCAGCACTGATGATGCAAGTAGTGTAGCTGGAGTCGTCGTTGAACGTGAATGCAGCTGTCCCATAGCACTTGTACAGGAGTCTCTTTACAGAAAATGCAACAGCTTTCTTCAGATTCAAGGTTTGAAATCTGAAACCCGGTTGTACTGACACGAGTGTGTTTTGTAGAGCTGTGAACTGATATTCCTTTGGTCTTGTTCTGAGCAGGCTGTGTCCACGCTGGCGTATGGCCTTGTTCTGAGCTGCGGAGGATGCGAAGGACACTGGAGAGACTGCTGCTTCTTTATGCTCTCTCTCAACCCTCTCTCCCTGCTCCCCTCCATTTTTCAAGCTTTCTAAAGGGCAATATTTCAACACTAATGTTGTTTCTCAGGTATATACTCAGCCAGTATAGGAGGGACTAGCATTAGTGGATGGACAGAAAGGTACCTGTGTGTCCATGTGTATGCGTGTCTGTGTAATCGATTCCATTTCTGCATTCCAACAGCAGAAGGCTTTTTTCCTATGAAATGTAACCCGCTTTTTTCTGTTGCTGTGTCTACAAAGAGTTTTACTCTGCCTACACCTAAGGCAACCACTACCCTGTCCTCTTTAATTACTTCCTCTCTTCTGAAACGCTGTCCTAAACAACAGAAGGAGTCACTAGGCAGCAGTGTTGCCAGCTCGTACCCGTGCTCGGTGGGCGACGGCCGCGGTGCCAGAGGAGAGCTGTCTCCACAGCAGTGCCACGGCAGCGACGCTGTAGGGACCCCTCAGGCTCCCGAGGAGAAGCTTTTCCTGACGTGCTCAGATGCTTCGTCGTGCTGGTGTGAACATAGCACCCGTTATTTGTAGGACTAATGTTTAGATGAGCCGAGTGTTGTCTTGTCTTCTCTGCCTTCCTGAGCATGCTTTGAACGGGCCTCTGGTGCGAGCGGGCGGGGCTGTGCCAGGACAGGGTGGCTCAGTGTGCTGTCCCCAGGCCCTGCAGTGTGCTGTCCCCAGGCCCTGCCTGTCCCCCCTCGCGTGCCAGACACCGCTCAGCTCAGCGATCCCCCTTCTTTGGATGACAGCCTCTATCAGGGTTAAAACACTACATCTGGCAATGTCTTTGTTTACATGCCCTTCTTACAGGGGAGATTACTCAAGTTGTTTAAGATTCCTCTTAAAAGACGGATTCCTTAAGTCCTTTTATATATGTGGTGTATTTTTGTTTTTAATTTCATGAGTTTTTATTAATGTGCTGCATATCCTTGATGTACAGCAGCAATCTGTCGTGGAGGTCACGACATGCAGCAGCTGGGCAGTGTGCTGGGCACGCTTGTCTTCTGAACGAGGTCTTTGCCTGTCATAGTCTGTGTGGCAAAGCTTCTCCAGGCTTCGCTTGTGGACAGACACATTTGTGCATCTCCTCTGTCGGTGTTACAGAGCCCTGGAAGAAGCGGTGACCCTGAGCTGGTCTGTTCCACCTCCTCTCCTGAGCCGCTGTGCTGAGACCCCTCACGAAGCCTCGTCCCCTGGTCTCCCTGCTCCGTGGTCACTTCTCATCCTCGGCTCCAAAGCAGCAGGCTATGGAGAGGAGTGTTTTGGGGGTAGCTGGCACCTTGGGGAAAAGGAGGGGGGGTGTGGAGCCGGGCCGGGGGTGTCCCGGAGCTCTGGTCAGTGGGTGATGTGAGCCCTGCCCATGTAACCCTCACTCTGCCCCGGTGACCTTCTGCAGTGCTCACCTTCATGCAACCCAGAAGCACTGCTGGCAGCCCGAGTGTTCTAACAGTATGCTGGACTCTGTCCCCCAGCCTGTGCTTTCAACCTGAACGTGACCATCTTCTTGATGCATTTCTTCTCCCGGGCATTGTTTCGGTCTGATTTATTGCAGCAACGAGAAGCAGAGATTGCATTACTTGCTTCTTAAATGTATGACTTGGATTATTCTTGGATTATTTTTTGTAATATCCAGCAGAACAGATAAGACTTGCTTCACATTGTAGTTCCTAAATTGCTCCCTGAAATGTTGATGTTGAAGTATTTGTTTAAGGTTTTATCTGTATTAAGGTTTTGCACTGTGTTGGCTCTTCTCTTGTAATGACTCTCCTAGCAAGAATGTAATTCTGACAGCTAGTGCTAACTGGGTTTGGAATCTTTTAACAGACAGAACCTAGTTTTCTCTGTGTTTTACCATGGGACGTTTGTGAAAGGTTATTTTTATCAAATGACATTTTCTTTTTATGCCATCATTCACTGAAGAAGTTTAAGCTGGAAGCTGGTGTGTGGTTTCTGAGGTAGTTTTGTTCCTGTATTGTGTGCCTGGACTGAAGGAAGTTTGAAACTGTGTCCAAATTCAGTAGTTCAATATGTTTGATAGGATGAGAGGGAACAGCCTCACATTGCACCAGGGAAGGTTTAGGTTGGCTGTTAGGGAAAATCTCTTCCCCAAAAGGATTGCCCAGGGCTGTGCCAGGCTGCCCAGGGCAGGGGTGGAGTCCCCACCCCTGGAGGGGTTTCCAAGCCGTGGAGATGTGGTGTGAGGGACACGGGGCAGTGGGGACCTGGCCGTGCTGGGTTAGCAGTTGGACTTGATCTTTAAGGTTTTTTTCCAGTCTCAACGGTTCTGTGGTTCTCTTTGGGGCATAAGAAAGGTCATTAGAGCTCCATTCAGACAAAACGGGAGCGGGAGGTCCTGGTGTTCAGCAGCTGACCCGCCGCGATCCCCAGGGACGCAGTCTGGCCCATAACTCCTGCTGGACACTGCTGCCAGCTCGTGCACTGCTCTGTGCATGCTGCCAGACTGGGGTTCGTTCCTGCCCCTCTGCAAACAGCTGCTCTGGTGCCTGGGCTCCGTGCTCTGCAGATGGGCCTGGAGCAGGCAGAGGAGCCCACGCTGGCAACACCTTCCTCGGAGCAGAGGAAGCTGCTCTTCTGTGGTGGGCTGCCAGCACGTGGCACGTTGTCTGGCTCAGGAGGGCTTGACTTAGAGCAACAAGCAAAATGTTTTGACTGATAGGCTGCACTGTAGTTCGTGTTGAATGTAAGGCACACAGTGGGCAGTATGTGCAGAGCGTGGCCGTGCAGGACCTGGGAAGTGCAGTCCCTGCTCGGTGGCTGTCGATGCTGTAACAAAGTGGTCTGGAAAGCAGCTGTTTGCTGCCACTCTGCATCTCTGCTTTTTGGTATCACAGATTTCTGGTAGTCCATGAACCTCCTTCCAAAGGAGAGGGTTGAAGGGTGTGGGTCTGGGAACCAGCAACGCTAGTTGTGAGGGTAAAACAAAGCCTTGTTGCTGTTGAGGTCGTGGCTCCATCGGTGTCATAGAGGCAACCTTCCTAAAACTGGGTGTAGGTTGTTATAGGCTGTACTTGGTGGGATTTGGGAAAAAGCAACATCACTCTTCTTTCCTTGCTTTAAAGCAGACTTATTTCTTAGCCCTTTCATGCATAGGAATTCCTGTCCATGTGTGTCATGTTGTTGAGATCAGGATGTGGTACAGTACTAGGGAACACTCCAGAGAGAGGTTTTCCAGGTCCTAGATGCCAACACCACCCTTAGCTTTGTGTATTGGTCCTTAGAGCAGGGAAGGCTTGAGGCTGTTCTGGGGCAGCCACTTGTACACGGTCACTTCTTTTCTTAAAATTCACGTTTGGCTTCCGAAGCACTCGTGCCTGTGGAGGAGGTGGGTTCTGCCAGCTTCAGAAGGTCACCTCTGGCCAGGGATCTCCACCTGCCCCGGGTGGTGACACGTGGGGCCTGGAGGTCTCGTGGCTGGGTGTCTGAGTGGGACAGGAGTGGCTGCTGTGCAGGCCTGCTTTGCCAGTCACGCACAGCCAGGGCACGTGTGGAGTGGCCCGTGGCGTGGCTGTCCTGGCTCGGGGCGGGGGAGGCTGGGACCCCCGTGCCAACAACCTGGCACCAAAGGTTTACAGGGCAGCCCCGCGCTGGTGAGAAACGCCCTGGAAGGGGGAGCCCAGCACTGTCCCTGTGCCCGAATGGCCCCGTGAGCTCCCAGGGGACGCGAGGTTCACGTCCTCTGACGGGCTTTACGATGTGTGTCCAGCCCACTCGGGGTCCCACGCCGCACA